TGATAGTGATGGGAGGAGGCATCTCACTGTGGTTTTGATTTGCATGTCCTTGCTGACTAATTGTGCTGAGCAAATCCTCACATGATTCTTCAAAGAAAACATGCAAGACAGCTATGCAAATCCCCTGCCTGCTTTTAATTGGGTTATCTGCCTCTTTACTGCGGAGTTGTAAGAGTTCTTTCTTGCTATTTTTGAAACTGCAGTGAAGAACTCTCTTCCTGGAAAGTCCTTCTCAGGGTTCCACAGTGGAGCCTGAGCTTATATGAGCTGCTGTACATAGGCCAGTTGTCTTCTAAGCCGTCCACTCTCCCTCAGGGAAGTTTCTCCTCTTATGCTGCCTTGAGTGTTGTGCCTTCACTCCTCATTACCCACAAATGGCTTTCCGCAGCATCACTAGAACCTGCCTGCAACCTTAGTGAATTTACAGAACCCTGGAAGAATGTAACAGGACTTTTTTTAAAACCACCACTATAGAATCAGTGTCACACCAAGCAAGTCACGATCTTTTGTCTTGTATGCTCTGATAATCATGTACATACAGGCACAGCTACTAGTCTTGACAATCCTGCTTCATCAAACCACCAACCGAAAACGCTCTACTCTTTACGAGAGCCCTGCCCCTTCATGGAGTCTTAGACACTGTGGCTTAAAATGTTTCCCTCTGAAATAAAAAAGTTATCAATTGTAGAGTTCCTTTAACAATCCCTATCCATAAAATGTCCCTCATATTTGAGGGGTATGCAGGCGAAACCACCTCATCCATAATGGCATTAGAGATCACACTAGAATTGCTAGCATATGGTCACTCAGTAATATGTTCAAGAAGAGACACATACAGCCTCAAAAAACGTCCTGCGTTCTGGGAAATTCCGAGTTGAATAAATACCACCACGTGTTTCTTATTGATGCTGCTCAATGCAGTATTTCTCAGCATCTTTGATGTGATTTTGCACATGTTGAAAATCTCTCTATGAGGGGAAAATAATAGGCAGTGCTCCTCAAATTGATTTGCCCTTTGAAAGAGCACACCTGTTAACATCCACCCCCAACAGCATTCTCCCAACATACCCGGGACTGCTGAGCTAATTCAATTGCTGCTCAATTCTATCAGCTGGACAGCACTGAGCAGAAACCATAGTTTCTACTGAGGTAAGAAACTAAATTTGCTCTGTTTTCAGGTATGGCCAATGATAGGTTCTCCTAACAGCAGGCTACTGAAAAAGAAATGGTACATTAGTTCATAACGTTTATTATCCGCCTGGATTTCTGAAATTGGAAAAGGCTGAAATGAAAAAGAAATTTTTATATTTATTTATTATTTATTTTTACTATTGAGCTAATGCAGTGTAACTGGGATTTTTGTTTAAAAGCTAAAAGCACTCTCTAGGAAGGGCTGAGACTAGTGCTTCTAGCCTGGGCCTTGGCTCTAGGTGGCTTAATCACTACAGCTCTGAGGACCAAAGAGAAATAAAGTATCAAAATGATGATCTCACAATGGACTTACTAAAGGCAGCCAGGACACCAGGGAGTTGCAGCTGAGAAAAGTAAACAGGCCTGATAAAGAAGACTTCTCATACTGGGAAAGAATCCCAGCAGCAGTGCGGAGAACACCCAAAACATAAACAGCAAGTTATAAGAAGGCCTTCTGGAGCAGAAGTGTTTCTTTCTTATGCTAAGTGGGAGAAGCCAGCAAAGGAGTGGATTGCATTTTAAGAATTACAACCCAAAGGCTGTTCCCTCTCCAGTGTTGATTAGGGTCAGGAAAGCTAGTTTGGGCTTTGCAATTTTATCTCTAAAACATTAAGTGGTACACTTGAGTTTTTGAATAGGCTTCTGATTTACTGATAAGTTTCTTTACTGTTAATCATTTTAATGCTAAAACAAAGCACAAATGCAAAGTTAAGATAAAGCCTGAGTGTGAGCTGGGATTCTGCATCACCACACAAGAACTAGTGAAAGTGCTGACTGACCTCAAATACCCAGTCTGTTTGGGTGCTACATTACATAACTTCATTCCTTCCTCCGATTATTATCTCAGGAGCCCTCCTGCCTCAAGCAGGCTCCTGGTACCCCTAAGCGGTTAAAATTCAAGGCCACTATTTAGGCCACATAGCAAGTCATGGTTCAGATCTTTGCATAGGACTATGGGTGGTTTGGGGGACAAGGAAAAGCACTTGGGATTGGTTGAGTCTCAACAACAACACCTGATTATAAAAGCTAATTCACCCTGGACACTGCTGATTTGTAGAGCTGCCCCTGAAAGCTGGAGAAGGCATGGAAGGCCTTAGCTAAGTGTTGTCACCAGGGGTCAACTGTTACTGTATGTATTTCACACTCCCCAAGCAGCTTGGGTAAGCTGTCCATTCAGGGGGAGACAGCAATTAAAGTTCTTTTTAAATGTGCTCCCAGATGATTTTACCACAGCTCTACCTGTCAGGGCTGTGTGCAACCATTCCACAAATGTCTAACTCAGCAAAGAAAAGAAACAGAGCAGTTGTTGGACTTACTCATACAAGGTCCACTAAGCTCAGGCTACCCTAGAGTGATCTAAGGTAGAGACTACCTTCTTTACAGTAAGAAAAGGGGAAATCTTGTCTTTTTGTGAAATGAATTCATTGGAAGAGCAACCACAGTCATTAAAACAGGACAATGCACTGGTACCCGAATATAAATGCTTAAAGCAACTCCCTAAATAATCCGGAAGAAAACCCCTCTCTCTGTATCAGGTACTAAAATAATATTTTGGAACAATCCTCATCTTCCTTTCTCTGCTTCTATAAATCAGTGATTCTATAGGTATGGCCTAGGGAAGACTAGTTATAAATGCAAACTGTTGGACTGCCACTTTAAATTGGACTGGGAATGGGGGCTAGCAATCCCAGGCTTTGCAAGCCCTCCAGGAGATATGATGCTCATATCTGAGAAGGATCTCTTCTCAAGGCTCATAGAGGATGCATAGCTCCTAGGGTAGCTCAGGAGTCTCATTAAACCCTTATTAACTGAGTGGCAAGTAACCTCTCCTGGCTTGCCTCTCGGATTATCTTTTAATGACCTGGACTGATTTCACCAATGAGGGGCTGAGTCCTCAGTTCAAGGTCACTGTGAGAAGCCAAGTCAGAGCTGCATCCCAGGGCTGCTGATTTCTTCATCAACCTGGAATCGCAAAAGCCTTGCTGACATGCACAATTCTGGGGCCCAGGGCTGCAAATGTTGTTAAGGAAGGTCTGGTGGTGTCCTCCACTATACCTCTGTGCCTCCCTCAGACAGAAGGAAGGGATTTCCCACCCATAAAATCAAGAGAAACTGGCTACTGTGCAGGGTGTGTAAAAAGCTATTTCCAAAGACCCCAGCACTAACCTCTTAGCCAAGAGTACACAGTGGGAGGAGGGCTTGGTTGCTTTTGTTATGATTAAGGACTACTTAGCTTTAAAAAACTCAGTGTAGAGCAGAGACAGCACCCAAGACATAGAAACTGCCTTAAAGTTTTCTTAGCTCTTCTATTTCCATCACCTCACTTAAGTCTTACAACAGCCCTGCAACGGGGACAGACGAGGCCATGGTGATTGCCCATTTGTTAGAAGACAAAACTGAAATTCAGAATGACTAGTAATTTGTCCATCAGTCCTGTGATCAAATGAAACGACATAAGTTCTTTCAGACTCTAGAACGTGTACAGTATATCCACGCCACGAGATGGCCACACCTGGAAATCTTTCCTCAAATGGACAGTCCTTAAGGAAAGGGCAAGGACAAAGACATCCAGCAGAATGGTGAACCCCTAAAACATGGCACTTGAGTAGAGTGTGGATACCCCTTTAAGAACTTAACACACAAACCCAACAGCCAAGGTGTTCAGCCAAAAAAGAGGAGAGTGAGAGAGGCATATTTCTAGCCTGCATAATCATTTCTGGACAGATTCCCACTAGCAGCCTGCGAAGCAACCCAAGGAGAACAGGCGCTCCCCTGCCTGGGCTGAAGCTCCCTCCATCCACCGCCCATACACCCCACGCTCCCCAGGACACCCCCCACCCCTCCCTCATAATGACAGTATAGATCTGACTGGTGTGTAGGAAAAGTCAAAACAAGGAGTGAAAAAAGTTGAGCTTGGAGAAGCCATGGGAATCATCCACACTCTTACAATCTGCATACTGCCAGTTCTGATGGCTTGGAGAGGAGAGGGTGTCAGGAGGCAGCTCCCTGGAACCACTAGCCTTGTTCTGTCCCTCCCAGTCCCAGTGGAAGAATGACAGAAATGGGAGAGGGTTGTTATGAAGTCCAGGGCCAGCATCAAAGTCTATACACTCCCATGCACTCTCTCCTAAGGAACCTCACGTCATTCTAAAGTCTCTAACTGACCCCTCGGATGATAAATGGGTGGGGTGGTGGGGAGCTGGACATCTGGTGAAAATCAGGAGGAAAAAGCGGGCCGTGACCTACTCCAACCACTGGATTCCGCGGCGCTCCAAAGGAGCGAATTTGGAGCCCCTCGCCCTTGACCAGGTCTTAGGCTGGGGACTGGGGTAAGAAGCCCAGGGGGAGGGAAGTCATGCCTTTCAGGAGTGCCCGACTCAATTTTGGTAGCAACGATTTTCCTAGAAAACGCCAGGGGATTCACGGATAGGGGTGGTTCTGACTTGAGCGGGTAGAGCTCAGGCCAGGGGTGCAGCGACCCACCGAGTCCCCCCAATGAGAGACTCGGGGCGGCTCCCCGAGGGCCGAACTACAGTGCGGACAGAAGGGCTCCATCATCAACTTTCTCAGAGGAAACTGCTCCACTCGGGTTGGCCCCATCTGGCTCTCACGCTGGGTCCTGGGTTTGGAGAGACTCAAGAACGCAGACCCTCTTCCGAGCGCACAAAGCCGTGCGCCGAGGCGTGCGGCCCCCTCTCCCGCCGCCCGCCAACTTGCCAGCATCTCGGTCCCCGCGCCTCCCCGCCCCGCAGCCCCGGCCGCGCGCACCCGGCACGCCGGGCAGCCTGGATCCCCGGCCCCGAGCCTACCGTGCAGCTCGGCTCGTGTCCCGGCGGTGCCAGCGCGCCGCACGCGTCCCAACCCGCGACAGTCCTTCCCGGGGGCTGCCCAGCGCGGGGGCTCGGGGCTCCGGACCAGGCTGGGCCGGCCGGGCTGCTGGCTGGCGACGGCTCGCGCCTCCCGCGTGGGCTTCTGCTGCGGCGCGCGAGGACCGGGGGTCCGGGGGAAACTCCGGCAACTCCAACTCCCGGCGCCCGAGCTCCAGCTGCAGCCGTGCGCCAGCCCGCCCGCCGCCAACTGCGAGCCCAGCCGGAGCGCAGCTGCCCCCGCCGCCGCCTCTGAGCATGCCCAGTGCCGTCGTGGGCGAGCCGAGCGCCCGGCCCGGGGCAAAGAGCACCGGCCCGGGCCCTGGCGCTGCAGGATCCCGGTGCCAGGGGAGGAGGGCAGGGAGCGGCTGGGCAGGCAATGCCAGTGGCGCGGGTTGTGGGAAGTTTGTTGGCTGCAGAAGTGGATCGCTTAGGTGAGCCTAGGCAAGACAGCGTTGCAAAGGACGACCGGGAAACATTCTGCAGGAAGGGACAAGTGGGCCCAGCAGGTGGGTTTTTATCCAGTCCCTGGACATTATCTAGGGTGACAAACTGAAAGAGCTTAAGGGGGCTTCTACAAGCCCGGGTGAATGAGGAAGCTCTAAATGCCCATTGCTATCAAGGAAGAATTCAGACCTGGTCTTACTGGATTTTCTTGTTTTTTAAAATAAGTGGGAGAAATCCAGATTTTTTTTTTTCAGGTAAAATATCCTGGTTATTGAATCTTGACAATTCTTTTTTTTTAGCACTGTGGTAAAAACAAAAACAAAAAATCAAACGCAGGCCAGGTCAGGTGGCTGTTCACCGATTTGAACCAAGGAATTCTACAATCCTTTAGTGAAGAGGTTCAGAGTGCCTGCTGAGGTTTAGGAAGGCCCTGGAAAGGATCCAAAACAATTCAGACTGCCTTCAAAGTGCTAGGGGAAACCGGCTTTCCTCACAGAACAGAGCTACTGACAAATGTTTGAGCATTCACAGAGAAGTAATGCAGAAAGGGGTTTTGAGAACAAACTTTGAGGGCGCTCCAGCAGTATAACCACCTGAGTGGAGGTCACTATAAGTTATAGAGCCCCTCAAAGAGCAAAGGGACATGTCCTGTCTTCATTCAATATTTTAATGTCTTTTCATTATACATTTTTTTCATTTATTTCGATATTTAAAAAAAAATACTGCATTAACAGAAGAGGGGTTGGAAAGACTTAAGAGCCCATTACCATATGGAAATAGAGTCCTACACGCTCCTGGGACCCTGCTCATACACACCTACAGCAATGGTGTCAGCATAACAGAAGACCCATGCAAACTCAGGCAGACAAAAACCCAGTATAGAACCGAGGAAAGGGACAGCAGACCCCAATCTTAACAGAAGACCCATGCAAACTCACAGACAAAAACCCAGTATAGAACCGAGGAAAGGGACAGCAGACCCCAATCTTAGGCGAAGAAATATTGGCAACTGATTACTGCTGGGTGAGGAAGAGCTGATAGGCTCTCTAGATAGGCTGACTAGACTTCAGGAGTAGATGAACTTGCACTGAGGAGCTAACTGTCTGGTGACGCTACCTTGACACAATAGGCCTTAACACAAATGACAAGAGTGTATGAATTCCAGTGGGGGAGGGGGACTATGGGACCGTGCCAGTGGGGTATAAAGCTGATTAAGACTGATTGAGATGCTCTGTACAAAATACACAAAAATTCAATTAAAAAAATGCTGTATTAAAACTTTAATACAGCATAAACTTTAATCTTCATTTCAGAGTTCATTCACAGACCTTTCCATTGTGTGTCCTACCTCATCCTAGACTGGCCCTACGAGGCTGGAATAAAATAGGAAAGATTCTGTATAATAAAAGAACTGTAGCAGGGGGGGCTCAGACAGGAGTCCTGGTTGCCAGTCTGTGGAGCTTGCACTTGTGTGAACCAGCTGAGAGTCTCCGGAAGAGAAAACACTGCAATCCAGATGGGACTCCTTGGAGAAAAGAGGTTTAGCAATAGTTAGGAAGAAAGTGTGGAGGAGAAGAATGAGGGAAGTACCAATACTTACGGTATGTGTGGTCACTGTTTCATGAAATTCACAGGCACGTCCTTGATAAAGCTGGGTTGGTGCTGGGTGTGGTGGCACACACCTTTGATCCCAGCACTTGAGAGGCAGAGGCAGGTGAAGCTCTATGAGTTCTAGGCCAGCCTGGTCTACATAGTAAGTTCCAGGCCAGCTGGGAGACCCTGTCTCAAAAAAAAATATTTAAAAAAAAGCAAAACAAACAAACAAACAAAAAAGCTGGGCAGGCTCTGCCTGTCTCAAGAAACACTTGGAGAGGTTTGCTTTGCTTTTGCTTTGTATTAAGTAATACTTGGGGGTTTTGGTCTAGGCCCAGTCATTCCTCCATCTGGAGGAGAGGTGGGCAAGTGGCCCCTCTTCTAAGCTGTTTTCTTCATCTGTGAAGTAGAAAACAGTTCTTATGGTTCCTTTGAGCCTGTGAGGTTTAGAAGTGGTATCTGATTATGATTTCTTTTTGGTCTTTTTGTTTGTTTGTTTTTGAGACAGGGTCTCCTTGCAGCCCCAGCTGGCCTGGAACTCAGTGTGTAGACCAGGCTGGCCTTGAACTCTCAGAGATCCACCAGCCTCTGCCTGGCTAGTGCTGGGATTAAAGGCATGTACCACCACGCCTGGCTTTGATTATGGGTTTTTTAAATAACGGAAATTTAAGCAATTAGAAACCATTGTCCTTAATCTATACAATGACAATCAAATTAGAATTGGAATAAAGAAATTCTACTATCTTACAAAAGTTGTCTTAGGCAGCAAACTTCATCAGTTTAGGAAGCTCTTTTATGTGTTGGGATGTGCTTACAAAACTTTGGAATCAGCTTTTGAGTAGTTGAAAGATTTTTTTCCCTGTCCTAGTTTCTGTTGTTACTCTTACTCTTCTTCATCACGTTCATTTTTATCATCCGTTCTGTTCTCGGTATTGAAGGTCTAGTCAAGATGACTGTCCTTGTACAAAGTGCCCCATAATTCATGACCAGTTCATTAGTGTAGAATCTGCTTCAACTAGACACCCGGGACTCACCCCAGTGCCTAGTTGCTGGTCTCCCCATTGATAAGCTCATCAGCTGCCACTCTCATGGCAAACAGACTAGCATCTATCTAAGGAAAGCATTATTAGCACGCAGAACTCTCAAAGGGAAAGAGAAAAACATGCTTGAATGTTTACACAAGAAACCTTCCAGAGTTATGGAAGGAGGAAGTGGCTAGCCCAGGCCCTATCACATAACAGGTAGTTACAAATATTTGCAGAATAAATAGAAGTTTCCATCATACAGTCTTCCCTGTCTCTGTTCTACCTCCCGCAGTTCCTAAGAATTGTTTTTAAAAAATCATAGTAATAGTACTATCATCAGAACAAGAACAGGATGTAAACATTTATATAGGGAGGGGCTCTGTGCTTTCCCAAGTAAAATATTTTGCTTACATTTCATGGTGTGTGTGTGTGTGTGTGTTTGTGTGTACGTGCGTGCATGCTAGGAATTAAATGCACTGTCTCACACATGCTAAATGTGTGCTTTATTTCTCTGCTCGTTTTAAAAAATATTTTATTATTTTTATTTTATATGTATGAGTGTATTGCCTGCATGTATGTGAGTGCACCCATGTTGTGCAATGCCGTGGAGGTCAGAAGAGGGCTTTGGATGCCCCTGGAACTGAAGTTAAAGATGGTTTGTAGCCACCATGTGGGTGCTGGGAATCAAATGCAGGTCCTCTGTGAGAGCAGTCAGTGCTCTTAACCATTGAGCCATCTCTCCAGCCCTCTGCTCAAGTTTTAAATTAATTGCATTATAAAATTTGTATAAGTGAATAATAAATAGCATTTAACAGAAATGCAGTACAAAAATATCTCTGTACAGAGAAAAGCCAGTTTCCCACTCCCAAGGCTACTGTTGTTTGTTTCTTGCATGTAGTTACAGAAATGGGCTAGCGTATGATAGCAAGCATAGATCTTGTTTTGTCTTTGCAGTTGAATCATGAAATGATAGAACTGAAAACAACTCTGCAGTTCATCAAGATGCCAAGGCAAGGACTTTTAAGTTGCTATTGTGAGTAAGAAAACATAAAAGCAACCTTCCCCTCTTCTCTTGTGGCATAGATAATCTCGTGGTTGCAAGCATCTTGTGGCTATTGCGTGATATAAGAATGAGTTCATCTAGAGTACCCTAGAGCTCAGGATACCTGCTTTGAACCTCAACCTAAAACACCCATGGACTTAGATGTCCTAGGTTGCCTAAGGACATATGGTCTAAGTAACAAATGGAGCTGAATCTGCTGACTTCTGCCTATAAAAGCAGCACTGGGGGACCAGAGACAGGAGGATTGCCATGAGTTCAATCAGCCTCAACTACATCCTAAGACCCTATCACAGAAGCCAATAAATAAGTAAATAAATAGCAAATTAAGTGAGTTGACACAGACATTGTTTGATCCATGGACTTGACGTCATAACAGAGGTATTTTAATAGCATCACTATGATAATAGTGTCATCCGTCACAATATGTACTTGAGAACAGTGAGGTCTCTATGTTTTTAAAAGTTCCTCTACATAGCACACTTAGTAGCTTTTCAAGTTTTCATTCTGATGATGTGAATTTATGTAAAAAGTTTGTTAATCAACTTTCCAGCCTTTAGGTTGAGCCCTATCAAACTACCATTTTATTGGTCATAAACTCTTGAACAGTTAGAATTTCATATGGTTCAATATTGGTTATATTCTCACAAATTAGTTATTGTTTTTATAGTTGCACTTAAGTTGCTTCTAATAACAATCATTTTCCTAAGAAACCACGTATGTATTTTCCTAAGAACCAGTGTGTCTTTAGTCTACCACAAGTGAGAACTGAGTAAAACAACTTTATGAAATTCATACATGCTGATGTGTGGAAGACTGAGAACCTTCCTAACATACAACATAAAGGTGGAGTACACCTCTAGTCCCAGCTCTTGGGAGGCAGAGGCAGGTGGAGCTCTGTGAGTTCAAGGCCAGCCTGGTCTACATAGTGAGTTCCAGATCAGCTGGGGCTACAGGGAGACCTGTCTGAAAAAGACCAAAAAATAAATAAATAAAATAATAATAATAATAATAATAAGGCTATTTTATGATTTCAAAACGTCATTTCCATAATACTTTTTTGGAGGGCAGAAAATGATAAGAAAACTATCAGAAGTTAGCATGAGTCCTTGTCTAGTGTATAATACCCCAAGCCCCTCCATTTCATGTAAGTTTAACTGATCAATCATCTGGTCATAGGACCACCCCAGGAAGGTAGGTTATGCTAAATAGACG